GGCTCTTTTAATTCCATATGATTTGATGGCTTTTATCAATTTCTAAACATAGTCCATATCTTAGCACTGTCTATTATGAAGTAAATATATAACTTAATACCAAGACAGACACTTCTGATCAAATCCTACTGTATAAGTAATGTTAGATTAAGTATATTTACAACTTGACATTACGTGGCTATTCGGTAGTAATGATAATGTAAAGACATCCTTGAATGCCTTCTGTATAGAAACCTCAGTCTAGTTGATCTTTACAAAGATAATTTTGACATACTAGAAAGATTCCCCAAGATGCAGTACATTTTGAGCATTAGTTTGGTAAAATAAAACTAAAGAACAAAGTCTGTTATAACTTTTATTTTTTAATTTAAAAAATTAGTTTTAAAGGATTTCATAAATGCTTCATCTCTTGAAGGTGCTAGTACCTTGGTAGAATTCTAGTGACCTCTGCTGGTATTGCTTTTTTTTTTATCAGATTTCTTCACTTTTCTGATTTTTACATCTCTTGTAATACTGTTTCTAAATATTTAGTTTTTCCATAAAGGCAACATCCTGAAAACAGCTTGGTAGTTGCTTAGAATAGCCACAATTATAACACAGTAGTTTTCAGTATATTACATTTGATTTGGGTTTTTAATCCAATTATCAATAACTTGAAGGGTATTTTAATTTATGTAATAATTGCAAACAGCAAATGTGTTACTAATTGGATATTTTCTTTCTATAAATACAGAGCTTTATTTACAAGAAACATTTAAGCCTTTAGTGAATATATCTCCAGATGCAAGGTAAACTTGTAAAGTTTTTCTCCTTTGAAAACATTCATTCATTCAGATTCATTTGCTTTGTTACCATGATTGATAGATTTTTTTTTTTACTTAGATAAGGGCCAGCCTCCTTAATTCCAAATATTAAACTCAGTAAATCTAGAGACAGTAGAAATCACAGCCATTATTGGTGCAAAGGATGGATAATGGACTAGGAAGATGATCAGACCAAGCAGCTTTAAAACCCAGATCCCCGCAGCAGAAACCATCTAGGGAGCTTGTTAAAACTGTAAATTCCTGGCTCTTCCCCTACCTATTAAGTCAGCCTTTGGAGAACAGTGCCCAGGAATGTGCAGCAGAACAACTCCCCCAGTGGTTCTGACATCCACTGACGTGAAAAATCAGTCTCTGTTAGACATTGGTCCAGACGTGGTCAGAGGAATGGGCCGCCCTCTCAGCAGTCTTCTAGCAGCCGTACATTTTGATCCAGGCCTTCTGGACGGCTCTGGTACATTCCCAGAGTTGTATGGAAGCATTCTTAAAACTAGAGCACTAGCAAGAAGTGAAATCCTGATTTTATTATTTTATCTCCAAGTCCCAACAGACAGATACACCCAGCACGCCTCCTGCTTGGTGGTCTCAGGAGAGGCCAGAGCACCCAGAAGTGGGCTGGCCGAGCAGGGAACCAGCCAGCAGGCTGTGCAGCCAGCGGCCAGTCCCCCAAAAAGCTAGCTTGTGGGGGCATCCGTTAGCTTTCCCAGGGGGTAGCTTCTGTCATTTCTCAACTAAAAGCATTAAATGCGCTACCAAAAAACTGCCAAAGGTTTGTAGCTCACACTTGTGTATGAGATTCATTGAGACAGACTATGAAAACAAAAATCAGGAAAATTTACTGAGATCTCCAATTTAAAACTTTTCCAAAACACTGTGTTAAGTCAATCAACCTTTATTATTGTAATATAAAAGCACTGAAAATGCTTTTAAAGCAGGGGTGGTCCAGAGTGGGCTCCCTCCCCGCCCCCTCTCCCCCAGAAAGCCTCCTAACAAACTTACTGCTTTTCCCGCAGCCTCTTCGATGCTGTATACTCGTTGATCAAAAATAAAATCCACAGATTGCCAGTTATTGATCCTCTCAGTGGGAATGCACTTTACATACTTACCCACAAAAGAATCCTCAAGTTTCTCCAGCTTTTTGTAAGTAGTTTTTGGTGTTTCCAAAGACACGGTTGCATCTACTTTAATTTCCTTCAAGTAAATTGGCTCCTGTTTCCCTCAGTAGAAGAAATGATTAGTTTTGAGTCTCCACTTCTAAGCTTCAGTTTCTCCACTTACTACTATTTGAATCGTACATTCTCAAAGTTGATTCCAATTAAAAAGCAGCCACCTTTCGGTGCAAGTACCAAAGTTATAAAAAACACTTGGAATTCTCTATTTAAATTAGAATTTTTTCTCACTTAAAATAGGGGAAATAAAGCAATTTGTAAGTCAATCTAATTAAGGAACTGCTATACAAGATAAATTGAGCCCAATATTTATAGCAAATTCCTCATGATGCTTTATTGGTATTGTGGTCTTGGAAACATATATTCAAAAAGTACTGTCCCCAGAATTAACTTCTTATTAACTTTGGCAGCAGTAAGAAGAAAACCCAAAGCAAATAAAATTTTGGCCAGAGACTACCATGTTGGTCCAAATTACGGCTATATTTTCTGTAGGTTATCTCAACTGCATTTGAAATGAGATGGCTTCATAATCATCCAAAATTTAGAACCTCTTTGGTCGGCATTGTATTAAAAGAAGGACCAGAGTGTTTACAAGAGGACTTTAATTTTTTCCTTTTAATTACATGCACCCAATTTGAGGTTATAGAAGTAATTGGCTAACTAGAACCAGTAGGAGGCTTCATTCATGGTTCAGAAGAGATCATTTGGAGAGTCTTTTTTTAAAAAAAAACAATTTAAGTGACATTAAAAGTTGACATCCAATTACTTCCATTTCCTTCTCCACAGCTTCAAATAAATAGATTAGCGCATGGTGGTGCAAACACTCAGAGGGCTTAGTTACGGGGAGAAATAACCTGTCCACTAAACAGTCCTATATTGTAATAGTCTATGTGTAAGAAAGACGATAGGAAGGAGAAGAGTAATTTACAGAAAAGCATGAAGTTTGATAAAGGGACAATCTAGGGAAGAAGAATTAGGGACGTATCAATGTTGTTCGTCAGATGTTACATGTGTCACGCACAGGTGCTTGGTCTGTGGGCTGCAAATGCCTTAGTATTGAGGTTTAATGCCCAGGGCGGGGCCAGGCTCTTAACGCAGTTATCCCTTAGAGTGATCACTGTAAAATAATATTAATCATGAATGTTCAATACTATTGAGCGTTTACAATAAGTCAAGCACTGTCCAATGCACTTCAGGCGATAAATCTATAACTCACCACCACCCTCTCAGGTAGGTATTTTTATTAATCCATTTTATAAGTGATGAGACTAAGCAAAGTTGAGCAACTGCTACGTCACTGCTGGTGGTGGTGGTGGTCCAGCGTCTGAGCCAGCATCCCGCCAGCTGGCGTGTTAGATTCTCTGTGCAGAGGCGCCTGGCTCAGAGGGCTACATACACTTCAAGTCTCCCAGGTGCTAAGTGGTTGGTTTCCAGCCCATTTCCACACCACACTGCTGCAGAAGAGGAGAGACAGTTTGAGACAGGCCTTTGGTGTTTTTCCCTCCTACAAAAAGCCATGGAGGTGGCCTCCGCCGGTACTGTCTTATATTTGGGCCAACATGGTAATTAGAATCATGCTATTAGAACATGCAACTAGAGGTTTTTAGATAAAAACAGAATTTTGAAGAAATTTCAACCTGATTTTTTACTGGATTGTGAAGTCATTTTCTGAGAAAATGTAGCGTTACCCTTGGAGACATGTGAGAGTTAGCCTAAGGGTACAGTAGGGAACAGGGGTTATCCTGTACCGAGATGGCCCCGATGACCTAATAGGTCTCTTTTTTTTTCTCTAAATTTCTAGGAGTCTCATGATTTGAATGTTGATGAGCTCTTTGACTTGAACATTTTGTTTCTTCTAATTGTTCATCTTTTCCTGATAATTATAAGGTACACCAGGAGGATGGAATCAACTATACCCTTTATAAAGGTGGATCTTTGAAACCATAGACCTTGTTTTGTTTTAGTCAAATATGATCCTAGACTTCTCTCTTCTGACTTCTCCCTCCTCCTTTAAAACAGCCCATGAAAAAAAAAAAGTTAATTTTTAAAGATTCTTTTAATTTGTTCAGTTGGCTTGTCCTTTATTCCTAGTGGAGAAAAATTGGAGTCCTCCAAAGGAGAGTTCAGGATGTGGAGGCGGGATGGTGTGAGGGTTAGCTTAGCAGCCCAGGCAGCCACCTTCAAACACTTGGGTTGGAAATGTGTGGGTTCCTAAAAAATATTGCCCAGTGATGAGCCATGAGACCAGGAATTTAACGTGAATAATTAAGAATAAAGGCTTCTTGGTGGCTTCTGGCTCTTAATTTCCAAATTGACCTGTTCCCTTCTGTCCTCTTTTTCACTAGGTGCATTTTTTGCAACATTTTACTAAGTAGTTAAACATATAAACACATAAACTGGTTTGAACAAAAGAGAATTCTTATATGTGACATTTTCATATGAATTCAGACATACAGATAGCATGTTAGAAAAGACTAACTTGAATTTGTTGCACATAGTTTTTCTTTCAAGTGTGGACATGTGAGCGTGGAGAGGTCGGTGTGGGCTCTAGAGCATTTGTGTCTGTCCTCCCGTTTAGATGTCTGACATGCCAAAACCTGCCTTCATGAAGCAGAACCTGGATGCACTTGGAATTGGGACCTACCACAACATTGCCTTCATACACCCGGACACGCCCATCATTAAAGCCCTGAACGTCTTTGTGGAAAGACGAGTGTCCGCTTTGCCTGTTGTGGATGAGTCAGGTCAGTGTTTGGCCATAAACAGGGTAAAGTTACTGCTAAATGACTTAGCATGGGAGGTATGTGGGGGGAACGGAAACTTAGGTAAGGTGAATCAATTCAGCACCAGGGAGCGCTCAGGATAATAAAAATTTTTACACTGGCTTATTTTCTCATTTTCCATTAAGATACGATATCGTGTCCATTTAAAACTAGACAAGCTTAGTTCACTTAGCAATATGTCATTCCTAATGATTTCCTAGTTAAGATGGATTTTAAATGTTGTTTTTTGTTTCTAGGATATTTTCCTAACATATATTTTGTTCATTTTTAGGAAAAGTTGTAGATATTTATTCCAAATTTGATGTAATTGTAAGTATTTTTAATTTTGTTAAATCTGTCATCTAGAATACATTTAAAACATTAATCCGTTTTTGTGCTTTTTCCTAATTTTGTGATTTCTAGCTCTTTTGAGTATGAGGATCTTATCGACTCCCCATAGATAATTGTACTTTTACTATTCATTGGTTTAGCAATGAATTATATACCAGTAGCATTTTGTATTTTAAATGATCATATTTCTACATGGGAGACATTATTTATTCCGCCAGCAGGCATGTGCTTAGTGCACACATGAACTTGTAGATCCCTGGTCATATACATCCATTGTTTGACGATTGGCGACAACTGTTCCAAAGAAGGCAGCAAATATTAAACAGAGTTACGTAAAGCCCTAGTTTTTAATCCCTGGTTTAAATCTACTAGGTTGATTTTGGTCCTGTATCTTCCCACTTGATGCTTTTTTTCCCGCATTCATTTTAAATGCACTTCCTTGCAGTTTTACATTATTTCTAAGAAAGGGAGCTGAAACTCTGATAGCCCCTAATTTTTTGCCATAATATTGACCCCTGAATTAAGTATTCTTTTGCAGCTGTCTCAAACCCTCGTTTCATCCTACTCTATTTTACGTAATAGACACCAAATATATATATGTATTTGCTTATTGGAATTTGGTTGAGTGGGACCTGCTAAGTAGATGCATCAGAGCCCTGAGGGGCTCCTAGGGAGAGTCCACTGATGCAGGTTCCCCAGCCCTATGGCACTTCTCACCCTGTATTAGTTAGGCTGCCTCTCAAAAGACTTGATTCATTCAGGTGTAGAGCCTCGAAGGGGACCAGTGGGAGGCGTCTTTGAAAGCACATGCAGCCGGAGCTTAACAAGGTTGCTTCCTGATGAAGGTATACCTTGTAAGCTTTAATCATTATTGATAAGATAATGAACGGCATGTTATAAGCTGGTATGGTGGCACTAAATTCAGATAAACATTAATGTGCTTAAAACTCAGGTTGCTTTAAACTTACAAATTTTGCTCATTAATATGAATGGAAATGAAAGGATATATATATAATTCATTCTGTTACTTTATTACAGAACCTTGCTGCTGAAAAAACATACAATAACCTAGATATCACGGTGACCCAGGCGCTTCAGCACCGTTCACAGTATTTTGAGGGTGTCGTGAAGTGCAGTAAACTGGACATACTGGAGACCATTGTGGATAGAATAGTAAGAGCTGAGGTGAGATTCCCCCCTTCTCCCCCGCAGCCATGCTGCAACAAGCGCAAACTAGGGACAGTGCCTCAGGAATTTTGAATCACAGTGATTGCCCCTGGGGCCCCTTCCAAGTTCAGTGGGAGGCGCAGTTTCCCTGTTCCAGAACCTGGCACGTCACTTGGCACATAGTAGGTCATCTATAACTCATCATTGAATGGAATTGAATTTATAAGCCCTGCTTTCATAGTTGAATCAAATAAACTGGTAAAATACGTTCATGGTTTAAAAAATACATACTTGAGGAAACAAAAGTCCCAAGAGTGTTAGGTCCCATTAGGGTATCTGTGAGGTTAAAGTTAAAAATCTCTCTTTCTCTCCTGATTCAGATGAATAAATGTGTAGTAACTTCATCTATTGACCCTCAGCACTCGTGTCCTGTTAAGACTTAACTGCCTGTCGGATTTTCGAGTGTACTTTGCTTTATATTCTAAATAAAAGATGCATGAGATAATTTTATAGCATATCTAATTCAGTATACCCATTCCCCAAGTCATTTTTTTCCTTTCTTGTTAGACGGGAGAGGGGATATTATCCTGCTCATCACTCTAAGACTAAAGGATGCAACTGTGTTCCTTCTGGAACAACTCCTAATTAGGCAAAGCAATTCATAGTGATGAGTCTGCTTTGATGCTTTTTATTATAGAGGCAAAAATACAGTCCAAGGAGAAAATTACCTGATTACTTTTTAGGGTAATAACAGGCTTTCTGAAAGTTATATGTGAAGTAGTGTGTTGCATCAGGGTGCGTGCTCCGTCTTCGGCGCCATCATGATAGAAACCCACCCTGTTCATCATTTATGTTAAAGAGTTCCTCCCTGCCCCGTCCTCATCTGAGGGGACTCTTCTGGCATCAGCTGTTACAGCTTTTAATGTGTTTCACAAGAATCTCTTTGTGTTAATACACATGCATATACATAGAAAAGAGGCCAGAAAGACACGCACCTCAGCGTTCCCAGTGGCTGTTTCTGGCTGGCGGAGTTCTGTTGTGCCAAAGTTCCCCCATATTCCTGAACTCTCGTGTGAGCATGTATTACCTTCAGGCAGAAGAAAAAAGTGATTGGCTGGTCAGTGTATCTGGTGAACAATAGAAATTTCATTGTAATATGAAATAATAGGTTATTGAGGAAAATAAAGATGGAATTGAACAGCTTTCTGAAGTTATCCGTCTTGATGTTTTTCCTCATTAAAATAATTTCTTTCACCAGATGACTCCTCACTGGCGGACAAAAACTAGGTTTTAGCTTCTACATATCTTGCTAGGGGAAGGGTATGGAGTATCAGCTATGAATTCAGTTTGTTTATATGGCATGAATGTCACACAAGCTTTTAGATACCTCAGTCAAGGAACATTCATAAAATTTAGACTCTGCAACAGATGACAAGAAAATATTTTTGGTAGTCATTTCTCTCTGGTAGAATTAATTCTCCAGGTGAGAGGGTTTCTCTTTGACCTTCAGTAGTTCAAGAGTTAATGTTAATAACAAAATGTGTCTCATATAGATTATAAAATATGCTCTGTCCTAGATATAAACCATCATTTTAATTTATAATTCTAGTTAATAAATAATTGTCATGTCACAGGATTATTGAAGAACCCAAGTTTTTTTAAAAATGTATTGATTGGCATGAGAAAGATGACAAAGTGATTTTTTTTTTAACCTAAAGCAAGCAGTGATGTCAAAAGCATCATCAGCACAGTATCATTACAGACAAACTACAGAGCGGTCCAGGATGGCAGCAGAGTAAGAGGATGCTAAACTCTCCCCCTCCCACCAGCACGCTGAAATATACACCTGTACATAAAGCAGTTACTCCTGAGTGACAACGGAGGGCTGATTGAACAGCTTCTGAACAGCAAACGAGGGAAAGAGACTGAGTGGAGCAGGCAGGGACACTGCAGGAGCTGTCCCAATTCCATTGAGCGCCGCTGGTTACGTCACCCCTCACCTCAGTAGGGCAGGCACGAGCTCTGTCGGGCGCTCTGGCCTACCTGCAGGGTCACCGCAGTGCGTTCCCAGCCACACTGGGAGCCCATTTTTGCTTCAAAGAAAGGGAGCAAGCCGGATCACCAGGGCATCACCACACACACCTGGTCTCCCTGCCCAGAGCTGCTCCAGCCTGCCAGGCCAGCGCCCCACGTGCCATAACTTCCCACCTGGCTCCAACCAACTTGCCAGAACCACCGGCCACACACAGCCTACCCAGAGGTTGTGTCTACACAGGCCACTTTTTTAAGGCAGAGAGAGCTGTTTTGTCTGATTCGTATAAACAAACATAGGAAGTCAAACAAATGAAAAGACAGACTGTCTGAAATGAAGAAAGAAGGAAAATCCCCAGGGGGAGTAAATATCCTAAGAAATGAAGATAAATCATTTGCCTGATAAAGAATTCAAAGAAACTATCCTAAAGATGTTCCCCAAACTTGAGAGTGGAAGAGAAGAACTCAGGGAAGAACTTCAACAAAGAATTAGTGTAATAAAGAATAAGCAGAACTGAAGAATACACTACCTGAAATGAAAAATATGCCAGAACTCAACAGCAGACTAGCTAATACAGAAGAACCATCAGGGACCTGGCAGACGGACTAGTGGAAATCAAGCAATCAGAACAGCAAAAAAATAAAAGAACTTTAAAAAAATGAGGATAATTTAAGGAACCTCTGAACCACCACCAAGCGTATAAACATTCACATTTCAGGGATCCCAAAAGAAGAAAGAGAAAGGTCCAAAAAACTTTATTTGAAGAAATAATGGCTGAAAACGCTCTTAACCTAGGAAAGGACACAGACATCCCGGACCAGGAAGCACAATTTTCCAAATAAGATGAACCCACAAAGACCCACACCAATACATACTGTAATTAAAATGGCAAACGTTCAAAATAAAGAGACAGTTTTTAAGGCAGCAAGAGGAAACTACTGGTTACATACAAAGGAAACCCCATAAGGCTGTCAGCTGATTTCTCAGCAGCAACTTCAAAGGCCAGACAGGGGCGTTAGGACTCCTTTAAAGCATTGAGAGAAAGGAGCACACAGCCGGGAATAATTTACCTGGCGAGCGTATCATCCAGAATTGGAGGAGATAGTTTGCTTGGACAAGCAAAACCTACAGGAGTTCATCACCATTACAAGAAATATTAAAGGGTCTTTTTTAAGCAGAAAAGGAAAGTCCGTAACCAGAAAGAAGACAATCGGAGAAAGGAAAAACATCTCACAGGTGCAGGCAAATAATAAACAGAGCAGTTCAGACATTGAAAAAGCCACTGCAAAGGTGAAGGACTTCAATGTAAGACCGGAAACCATGAAACTTCAAGAAGCAGTAGTAAACTCTTGGACATTGGTCTTCGTGATCTTTTTTTTTTTTTTTTTTTTT